GATCATCCAAGGTAGTCAGAGGTCAGGGGTCAGTGGGCACAGCTAGTCCTTGCAGCAGATCAGCCTGAGTAAAACCCTCCCATTGACATGCCAACAGCAATCAAGACTCAACTACAACAGAAGGGTGTAAAATCCACACAAGGGGTGTACCTCAAGGGCACAGCTGGGTGATCAGGGAGGCTGTGCCACTGGACCCCACAGGACACCTACTACAAGAGGCCACCCTAGGAAGCCTAAGAGACATAGCAGCTCTACCTAATACATAGAAACAAACACAGGGAGGCAGCCAAAATGAGGAGACAAAAACCATGTCCCAAATGAAAGAACAAAACAAAACTCCAGGAAAAGAACTAAATGAAATGGAGATAAGCAATCTAACAGATGCAGAGTTCAAAACACTGCTTATAAAGATGCTCAGTGAACTTAGTAAGGGCTTCAAGAGCATAATGAAGAACCAGTCAGAAATGAAGAATAAACTAACTGAAATGAATGGTTTACATGGAATCAACAGTAGAGTAGGTAAAGCCAAGAAGCAAACCATCGATTTGGAATAAGGAAGCACAAAGCACTCAATCAGAACAGTAAAAAGAAAAAAGGAATCCAAAAAATGAGAATAGTATACAAGGAGCCTATGGGACAACTTCAAGTGTACCAACATTTGCATCATGGGAATGCCAGAAGGAGAAGAAAGCAAGAAATTGAAAACCTATTTCAGACAATAATGACAGAAAACTTCCCTAACTTGGAGAAGGAAACAAACATACAAATCCAGGTAGCATAGAGAGTCCCAAACAAGATGAACCCAAAGGGGTCCACACCAAGACATAACATCATCAAAATGCAAAAGGTTAAAGACAAAGAGAGAATTTTAAAAGCAGCAAGAGAAAAGCAGTTAGCTACCTACAATGGAACTCCCATAAGGCTGTCAGGCAAGTTCTCAAAAGACATTTTGCAAGCCAGGAGGAAATGGCAAGAAATATTCAAAGTGATGAAAAGCAAAAACCTACAACCAAGATTACTCTATCCTGCAAAGCTATCATTTAGAATCAATGGCCATATAAAGAGTTTCCCAGACAAGAAAAAGCTAAAGGAGTTCATCACCACCAAACCAGTATTATATGAAATGTTAACGGGTCTTCTTGAAGAAGATAAAAAAATATGAACAATAAAATGACAATAAATGCATATCTATCAACAATTGAATCTACAAACAGAGTAAGCAGAACAGAAACAGACTCCTAGATACAGAGAACTTTTTGTTGGTTGCCAGATGAGAGGGGAATTGGGCAAAAAGATGAAGGGATTAGGAAGTACAAATTGGTTGTTAGACTGATGAACCTCAAAGGGAAGAGAAGGGTGGGAAACGAGAAACCAAAGAACTTATATGTATATATGCATAACCAACAGACACAGACAATAGTGTGGGGAAAGCAACAGGTGGACAGGATTGGGGAGGAGGGGGTTAAGGGGGGTAAAAAAAAGGACATCTGTAATACATTGAACAATAAAGAATCTGGCTGGTGTGGCTCAGTGGTTGAGCATCGACCCTGCACCAAGAGGTCGCCAGTTCGATTCCCGGTCAGGACACATGCCCAGGTTGTGGGCCCGATCCCCAGTGGGGAGCATGTAGGAGGCAGCCAATCGATGTTCTCTCTCATTGATGTTTTTATCTCTCCCTTCCTCTCACTTCTTCTCTCTCTAAAATCAATAAAGGAAAAACAACAACAACAATAAAGATAGGTTTAAAAAACAAGGAAAAAAGGAATCTCAGAAGAAATTCATCCTTAAATCTTTATTTTTTATCCTCACCCGAGGACATTTTTCCATTTTTTTTTTTCTTCAGATAGAGTGGGAAGGAGAGAGAGGAAGAGAGAGAGAGAGAGAGATCAACATGAAAGGGACACATCGAGTGGTTGCCTCCCGCACGACCCAACTGGGGCCAGGGACAAACTGCAACCGAGGTACGTGCCGTTAGCGGGAACCGAACCCGGGTCTCTCTGTACCGCAGGCCAACGCTGTAACACCTGAGCCAAACCGGTCAGCGTTCATCCTTAAATCTTAAAGACATTTTGTGAAATTAGACTGAGCAATGCATGACTTGAAGCACTGCGAAGTTCAGGTGTTGTTTCCCTTCTGGATGCCTGGTCTGTAAATACTTGGCATACTCTAAAGGCTAAATATTTTCCTTCCCTGACACCTCAAAGCAAGATAACAACTCTGGACTTGGTTCATCATGAATAAAAATGGGTATAACTTCACATTTCAAGTAATCTTTGAGAGTAGATTCTGCTCTGCTTAGATCATTTTCTTAACTCTGTTACACAGCTAATAAAGAGCTTACGCAGAAAGCAGCACAGTGGCTCTGCCATCAAGGTCCTCCTTCGATATGTTTTCATTTCTGGCATCATCTTCAATCCAGGGTTTCTTTGAAGAGTACCTGACCACTTTGCAAGGGCCAATGTGACTCACGCATGGACTTACTGAGCGCTCCTGAACTGCCTTGGCCTCAGTACACTGCACGTGAACAAACTCCCAGGCTCACCTCAGGAGTCTTGCAATATTCATGACTGGCTACATGTCCCCAGACTGCACGTCTGTAAAGTGTGATGTCTTCTTTGAAAATGTCAGGACAAACATATCCCTTCTGCAGCACCAGGGAGCATCTCATCTACACCACACTTAGAGACCCCTGCAGAGGTGATGGACAGTCTCTGAAAGTGTGTGACCAAAGACGTGACAATCAGAGTCAGTAAGCTGGAAAAGACCTTCAAGGTCACCTAACAAAATCTTCTTACCTACAGATGAGACTGTCCAGTGCACAACCTCATGCAGCTGCCTGTGATCTTCAGACAGAAACTTATTTTGATAAATTAGCTAGCAAACAAACCAGTGATCTCTAAACACTGTTTCATAATATAGAAAGAAGAGTTTAGCCTAAACATGGACAAGTTGAGTTACGTTGCCACAGATGAGGGGAAACAAGGCCTTAACCATCATTTTAGTGACTACAAACACATGTTAGGATTTACTGATCAACCACTGCAGCTTCTGCCATCAGCGATCTCCACCAACCCAGGCTGGGCATATCAAGTCTAAGTCTCAACTTGAGAGGAAGAAATGAACATAGAATCACCTGCATGAAGGTGTGTTTAAGTGTAGGAATAAGTGAGCGAGGGTAAGCAAAGCCAGAGTCAGAAGGAGAACCAGGACAGTGCCATAGAAAGGAAGGCAAGAGAGTTCCAGAAGGTGTTCATATGCAACTGGCTCACAGGTATTGGGACTGAAAATCACTACAGGACTTGTTAAGGAGATGACCACTAAGGATGAAAGCTGAGTGAGGGAGTAAAATAGAACTGAGAGGGAAGGAAGAAGCAGCAACCAGTATTAACCAGTCTTATTAAGCAGAATTTCTAGTCATTTGCTGGCAATGGCAGGAAAAAGTCAGATAAAAAGGTAACTTAAGTAGTTAAGCATGGTCAAGAGAAGGACTGAGAGGGAAGGAAAGATGGGAAACTCAGAATCCTAGGGCTAAGGAAAATAACTCAATAGAGGGGGAAGATTTGAGGCCCACAGAGAAAAGGCAGAGCGGTTTCGAAGAGACTTCGAGATAACGTGCTCACATAAATTTTGTAGTGAGTTTCCATGGGCTAACAGACTTAGTAAAATCTATCAGTTAAGAATCCCAGGAGTATAGGATTAACTTTGGAAAAAAGGACAAATGCTCTCTTCCAAACTAGAAAACAAAGTAGACAAGAGATTTCAGAGAAAAGGAGAAAAGGGAGAACTGCAGAAGCTCCCATCCAGTGGCCTGGGCCCCAGAGACACGTTCTCAGAGCGAGCGCAGTGTGCCAAGTAAGCCCCAGAGTACAGTTTGGAAGAAAAGGTTCAAATCAGCTAGGGATTACAATCCAGTTTAAGTGCTGTAGCCAAGCTGAGGACAAACACCAAGGGGACCCAGAAAGGAGGCAACAGTCTGGCCAAGGATGGTGAGGACACACTTCCCAAAGGGACAGCACACGCCCTCCTCTTAGAGAGAGAACAGCTAGCGGGCAGAGGGACAGACACTGTGCAGGAGGACAAGCACTGACAAAGGCACAGGAGAAGCCACAGCTCATCCCGCTGCGCAGGCCGCACCGCATAGAACAGGCCCAGAGGATGAGAGCCTCTGCACTGGCCAGAGCCTGGCGGGCAAGGTGCGGCAGGAAGAGTGGGTCACAGAAAAGTGAAACCCCAGGCACTCGGGTAGGGGTCAAGTTAACGTGCAGAAAAGGTGGAAGACACAACAGCACTGAGACTGGCTTGGAGAAAATGTGCAGACCAGGTGAGGAGGAGGACCAGGTTAACAGGAGGGTTTTTTACCTCGCGCCAGTACTGAAAAGTAATAAATGTCATCAGGAGTTGAAAGGGCAAGAGGAGACAAGGACTAGGGCAATTAAAGGAATTTTTCCATCTCAACTCTTTGTGCCTCAGTTTCCTCAGCTAGCCAATGTTGTCTCAGCAACACATATGTATTGTTGTTGTCCCATAGTTCTCAAGTTTTATGAGTGTATAACTTGCCAATCCCAGAATTCCAAGTGGAGTACACTAAATCCTCAATGAAAAAAGTCACAGTTTCCAAGAACCTATTGACGATAAGTGACACAATGTATAATGAAACCAATTTCAACCTAAGCTAATTGATATAAATAAGAGTTAAGTTCCCACAAAATATTCCTGGTCATAAAAACACCAAGCCTCTAAATAAACACCCCAAACACTTCTAATATCAAACATTAAAACCAATGTGAACTGTATATACATTTAAGAAAGACAAAAACAAGTAAGATATGATTTCCCAACCTGCTTATTCCAGTTCAGGGTCATGGCTAGCTAGGGTCTATCCTGGAAGCTCAGGGCACAAGGTGGAACCCCACCCTGAACAGGACCCCCTTCCATCACACAGCCACTCACACCCATGCCCACCCTCACTCACAGGGGGCCAGTGTGGACACACCATTCACCTTGGGGCGCAGGGTTGGGATGTGAGAGGAAACCCATGCGGACCCTCCACACAGACAGAGGCACGGCCAGAAATCCATTTCTTCCTCATCAACATCGTAACTTAATGACACTGAAGAAGACGACGTTATTGAGGAACTGCTGTGCTGGTATGGGCATCTGTTAAGGTGCAAACAAAAGACAGTTCAACTCACAGTGGAGAGACATTCAATTTTAAAGACTGGTTGACAGATCCAATCTTCCTATTATTCTTGATTAAAATTGAGATTTTACTGATGTATTGTTCTCGTAGCTACAATTTAAGCCAGTTAACAAGTGACACTGTTTTTTATGCTTTTAAAACCAGAAAACAACAACAATATTGTAAAGCATAATCAAGAATTCACTTATAGGAGAGTCCAGTGGCAGCAGATTGAATGGAAGCTACACTATTCTAACACCAAAATTGGAATTACAACTAAAATACAGAAAAACCATCCTAAACAACCAACTGAAGATAGGCTGGAGAGAACCCTGGTAACCAAGGATGGCAAGAGGAGCCCACATGGAAACTGGTAGGGAGTGCGGAGGCGCGAGAGGGCTGTCTGGGCTCCCACAGGCAGCAGCTGAAGTTCCGGAGAGATATCTCAGCTGCAGGAGGTTCTCCCTGAGAGGTCTAGGGCCTAAACCCCAAGCTGGGCTCCCAAGCCCAGAGCAACAAAACCGGAAAAGGTACCCACATAACACCTGGCTGTGAAAAGCACCAGAGGTTCTGTTCAGCAGGGAGAGACAGCTGGAAACAGGCACCCTCCTGAAGGGCCAGCACCCTAAATTTCATTTGCGGCCACCCACCTTGGGCTCCAGCAGAGGGAGAGCAGAGTGGACTAGAGCTGTGTGTGGAGACTCTGGGGTTCATGGCTCTGGGGAGAGTGCTAGGAAGGACGCTGCCTGGATTCTGGTGCTGAGTCCTTCCCCCATGCCGCAGAAGCCATCTTCCTCAAGCATGGTTTCCCCATTAAAGCAGCTTTAGTGAGGAGGAAGCAATTGCCCGCCCACCAGGTGGAGTTTATGCCTGACAGAGGACTATAACCTAAGGCTCATTGACTGACTAAAACTAACAGTCCGTCTGCAGGCAGAGGCAGATCTCTAGAGGCTTTGAGTCTTTGCCTGTCTTGCTCCGCTGCCTGGGGCTTGTAAAAGCAGGCCTTTGTGTTCTGCTTGGTCCTTTCCAAACACATCTAGCCCCAGTAGAGGAAGCCACAAACTGTGGATTGTTGATATGCACAGGGACATTCTGGCAGGCTCTAAACCCTGCTGCGGTGAGTTGTGCCTCATGTGATAAGCAAGTGCACAGCAGACTGCACGCTGTGTTAGGGGCAGAGCTTCACTGTCAGCCAGCCTGAGGGTAGAGCCCACACACGAACAGGCCAATAGCAATCAAGACTCCATTACAACAGGAGGGATGTGATTAGAGCACCTAGGTCTGATGATCGAGAAGACTGTGCCACTAGGTACCACAGGTCACCTACTACACTAGACCACCTTACCTAGACTAGGAGTTCTAGCAGATATATCTAATACACAGAAACAAACCCAAACAGGCAGCCAACACGGGGAAACAAAGAAACACACCCCAAATGAAAGATAAAAAGAATTCTCCAAAAGAAGAGCTAAATGAAATAGAATGAAAATAAGCAACTTATGCAATGTAGAGTTCAGAGTAATAATTACAAGGATACTCAACAGCATGAGAAAAGATATAAAAACACTGAAAAATAACCAATCAGAAATGAAGAATGACATAGCACAAAAAGAATACACTGGAATAACTGAGATGAGAGAAGCAGAGGATCAGATCAGCAAATAGTATTCCAGTGTCTTCTATTTGCTGATCTGATCCTCTGCTTCCTCTCATCTCAGTTATAAGACACTGGAATAACTGACATTAGAGGAAGCAGAGGATCAGATCAGCAAATAGAAGACAGGGTAGGAAAAATAATCAGAGAACCAAAAAGAAATAACAATTGAAGAAAAGGAGGCCAATTTAAAGAGAGCTATGGAACAACATGAAACATAACAACATCCACATCATAGGAGTACAAGAAGATAGTGACCAAGGGTTAGTGAACCTATTTGAAGAAATAATAGCAAAAAACTTCCCTAACTGGTGAAGGAAAATCACACAAGTTCAGAAAGCACAGAGAGTCCCAAGCAAAAAGAACTAAAAGAAGCCCATGCTAAGACACATCATAATTAAAATACCAAAAATTAAAGACAAAGAAAGAATATTAAAGGCAGCAATTGAAAAACAACATGTTACCTACAAAGGAGCTCCCATAAGGCTGACAGCTGATTTCTCAATAGAAACACTACAGGCCAGAAGGGAATGGCACAGAGTAAGGGAATGGCACAAAGTATTCAAGGTAATGAAAAGCAAGGATCTGTAACCAACTATCCAGCAAAGCTATCATTTAAAATAGAAGGTAAAATAAAGGGCTTCCCTGACAAAAAAGACTAAAGGAGTACATGACCACCAAACCAGCATTGCAAAATCTGTTAAAGGGACTGCTGCAATAAGAAGAGATAGAGAGAAACACAGGCATAATAAATTTAAATGGCAATTAAAAAGTACCTATCAATAATAACCTTAAATGTAAATGGACTAAATGCTCCAATCAAAAGACATAGGGTAACTGAATGGATAAGAAAACATGACCCACATATATACTGTCTACAATAGACCCACATCAGAACAAAAGATTTACACAGGATGAAAGTGAAGGCATGGAAAAAATTTTCAATGCAAATGGAAAAAGAAAAGGCTGGGATACCAATACTCATATCTTATAAAATAGACTTCAAAATAAAGGCCATATCAAGAGACAAAGAAGGTCACTACATAATATTCAAGGGACAATCCAACAAGAGGATATAACCCTGGTAAACATATATGCTCCCAACAGAGGAGCATCAAAATATATTTTAAAACTTCTGAGGACTTTTAAGGAAGAGATCAACAGCACTACAATCATAGTATGGAACTTTAACACCCCAGTGACAGCAATGGACAAAAAAAAATCAATAAGGGTTAAACAGAGACCCTAAATGACACACCCAGATCATATGGATTTAATTGATATTTACGGAACGTTTCACCCCAAAGCTGCAGAACATTCATTCTTCTCAAGTGCACATATATTCTAAAAGACAGATCACATGTTAGGACACAAACTAAGTCTCTACAAGTTCAAGAAGAATGAAATCATATCAAGCATCTTCTTGGATCATAATGGCATGAAAATAAAAATCAATGACAATAAAAACACTCAAAAACATTTACACATGGAGGTTAAATAGCAAGTTATTAAACAATGAGTGGGTTACCAATGAGATTAATATAGAAATAAACAAATTCCTAGTAACACGAAAATAAACACACAACAACCCAAAATCTATGGGACACAGCGAAAGCAGCCCTGAAAAGAAGGAATTTCATAGTACTGCAGGCCTACCTCAAGAAACAAGGAAAATTTCCAACAAACTATCTAACCATACAACTTAAAGAATTAGAAAGAGAATGGCAAGAAAAGTCCAGAGTGAGTAGAAGGAAGGAAATAATAAAGATCAGACTAGCAATAAATGACAGAGACTAAAAAACAATACAAAAGTTAAAAAAGCCCTGGCAGGTTTGGCTCAGCAGTTAAAAGCGTTGGCCCTCAGACCAATGAGTTGAGGGTTCGATTCTGGTCAAGGGCACGTACCTCAGTTGCCTCAGCAGTTAAAAGCGTTGGCCCTCAGACCAATGAATTGAGGGTTCGATTCCAGTCAAGGGCACGTACCTCAGTTGCAGTTCACCCCTGGCCTGGCCCTGGTCCAGTTGTGCAGGAGGCAACCAGTCAATGTGGCTCTATCACATCAATGTTTCTCTCTCTCTCTTTCCCTCCGTTCCACTCTATCTGATGAGAAACAGAAAATATCCTCGGGTGAGGAAAAAAAAAAAGTTAAAAAAAACAAGAGCTGGTTCTTTGAAAAGATCAACAGGATTGATGAACCTTTTGTCAGACTTACCAAGGAACAAAGAGAGAAGACCCAAATAAATAAAATCAAAAGTAAAAAAGGTGAAGTAAAAACTGACATCACAGAAATACAAAGATTACAAAAAAAAAATACTACGAACATGCCCTGACCGGTTTGGCTCAGTGGTTAGAGCGTTGGCCTGTGGTTCAGAGAGACCCGGGTTCAGTTCCCGCTAAGGGCATATACTTCGGTTGTGGTTTGTCCCCAGCCCTGGTTGGGTTGTGGGGAGGGGGGGGGCAGCCACTCAATGTGCACCTTTTACGTCGATGTTTCTTTCTCTCTTCCTCTCTCTTCCTCCTGCTCTATCTGAACAAAAAAATGAAAAAATGTCCTCGGGTGAGGATATAAAAAAAAAAAAAGAAAATACTACGAACAATTATATGCTAAAAAATTAGACAACCTAGGCAAAATGGACAAATTCCTCGAATCATACAATCTTCTAAAACTCAACAAGAAAGAATCAGAAAACCTGAACAGACAAATAACAACTAATGAAATCGAAGCAGAAATAAAAAAACTCCCAGCAAACAAAAACCCTGGTCCAGACAGCTTCACAGAATGTCTTTGAATGTCTTACAAACATTCAAAGAAGAACTAACACTCATTCTCCTCAAACTATTTCAAAAAACTCAAGAGGAAGAAAGATTTCCAAGCTTTTTATGAGGTCAGCATAATCCTAATTCCAAAACCAGACAAAGACACTACAAAGAAAGAAAATTACAAGCCAATATTCCTGATAAACATAGGCAACAAAATCCTCAACAAAATATTAGCAAATCATATCCAGCAATATATGAAAAAAATTAGAGGACTTCTGATCAAGATGGTGTCATGGGTAAAAACGGTACTCGCCTCCTCCCACAACCACATCAAAATCCAACTAAACTACACTGCCTGAAATCCAGCTGAAAGGAAATCCTACAATAAGGAATATTAAAGAAGCTGCATCAAGACCGGTAGGAGTGGCAGAGGCACAGAAGGGCTGGTCCCACACCCATATGTGGCTGATAAAAATCAGGAGGGATATCTTGGAAGTTGAGAAGATTCCCCCTGAGGAGCAAGGGGTCCCAGTCCTACACCAGGCCCCCAGCTCAGGGTTTCCATGCCAGGAAGAGAAGTCCCCCATAACTTCTGGCTTTAAAACGAGTAGGAATTGAGGCTGAGGCTG